TCCTTGAGGGCAGGTACTATGGGGAGTTTTTCCTTGCTTTGTGTCCCCTATGCTTAGTTTGGTTCCTTACACATAGTAAGCACTTAATAAATGCTTGTTGACTGACTGATCCTATCCTGATTGCCCTTCTCTGGATGCTCCCCATCTGATTAATGTCTTCTCTAAAATATGGTACACAGAACTAAACACAGTAATTCAGATGGGGTCTGCCTAGGGCAGCATCATCTGCGCATTTGACAAGAATGATCATTGATGCCTTTGTCCAAGTCAATGATAAACTTGTTCAACAGCCACACATGGCCAAGTACAGTTCCCTGGAGGACCTCACTGGAATCCTCCTGCCATATTAACCCGGACCCTTCATGACTACACTTTGAATCTGACCATTCGACTAGTTCCGAAGCTATCTAATCTATCTTCTAGCCAACATCTCTCCATCTTTCCCACAAGAAGAGCAGGAGATGTTTTATCAAATGCTTTGCTAAAATCTAAGTGAAGTATTTTGACATATTCTCCTAATAAATTGAGTAAGCTGCTCAAAAAAGGAAATAAGGTTAGTTTAGCATGACCTGTTCTTACTAATGCAATATTGGTTCTCTGTGATCACTGCTTCTCTTTCTAGCTGTCCATTAACCATCCCTTTAGTAACACTTTCTAGAATGCTGCCAGGAACCAAAGTCAAGCTCGCTGGGCTGAAGTTTACAACTTCCATTCTCTTCTTTTTTTTTGAAAATCAGGACATTGACCCTTCTCCAATCCTGCAACAGCATTCTTGCTCAACATAGTCGTATAGATGTAACAGACAGCAGTTCAGCTATCTCATCTGCCCCTTGTTTTGGTGCCCTCGGATGTAAGTCAACTGGATCAGATGACTTGAATTTATCAAGGGCAATGAGCTGCTCTCTTACTATCTCCTCACTTACCTTAGGTATCAACTACCATTAGCCAAACATTTACAAGATATAGATGTAACTATATATAGATAGATGTCAACATAGATATAAATATAGATGTGGACTTGGACATGGATAGATGTAGACATAGACATAGATATAGATATATATATGAATATATATGTGTACGTATACATGTATGTATATGTGCATATATATCTTATACATATTTATATAGGAAGTATTGATAGCCCCATTCTATAAATAAGAAAACTAAGGCACAGAAATCTTAAGTGCTTTACTAAGGTTACACCACTAGTAAGTTTCAATGCTAAGTTTCCAATTCCCGTGTTCCAAACCCAAGACAAAATGTACTTTCCACAGTACCAGTTCATCTCCATTGACAGTGGTTTTAGTTACATTTCTCCTGATGCCCCTAAGAGATTATTTGATAAATTTAAGATCATAGAGAACAGAAAGGGACCTTAGAGGTCATCTAGTACAACCTTCTCAATTTACAGATTGGGAAACTGGAGCCCAGAGAAATCAAGTGATTTACTCAGGGTCACACAGTCAGCAAGGAGGGACACAGGATTTGAACCCAGGTCTAATTACCCCCAATAGATCAGCCTTTCCACTGTGCCCCTTACTAAAATTAAATCTTGTCCCTACAAATTCAAAGGTTTCCAAGTCTCAACCAATGTCCTACTTGTTTGAAACACCTTAATGTGTCTCCTAGTTCTTGCACAATGAAAGGATTCAGACAGTTCCATGGAGTCCTGTTGGACCTGGATCTCATCCACCACATCCCTCCCCAAATCATCCCCTGCCCTCTGCAACTTTATGTGGGAGAGCCAAGCTCCTGGTGTTTCCACCAGGATCTCCAGGGGAGATCCTAAGAATTCTCTCCACTCTGAGCTCTACAAATCAATCTATCCCAAGGATTCCACTCACACTGGCTAAGCAGGACAGGCCTTTTCCCTGGTGTCAGTCTTTCTGCGTCTTGGACTTATTGGCTTTCTTACTGTTGGCTTTCCCCGCTATTTGGGGGAGTAGCTCTTGTTTACCCTGAAAATTTTAGCTTCAACTGGCATTGCCTTGTCAAATCATTGCCTTGACCCATGTGACTTATTTCCTTCCCCTACCCCCTTAAAATTGGTTGGAAGTTACTTAGCCAAAGGACCCAGGTGGACTTCAAGGGACTGCCTAAAGCAAGGAGTGCACCAGATCCCTCACAACTGGGATTTGGGAGGTGAAAAGCATGCAGTCATGCAAGACAGCTTGCGGCACAATGGAACCTACGGGACCCTGGTCAAGTCATTTGACTGCTCTGGGCATTGGTTTCATCTTCTATATCTAAGTAACTACCCTGGCTCCTAGTAACTAAAAGGCCAAGTGTGTTCCATTTCACGCCTCTTCCAGGGTTCTCCAGTACCCTTAAGGGGACTGGTGGTAATCTAGTCTCTCTGCCACTGGCTCCAGTGCATCAGCCTCCCATTGGATACATCCCCAGCATCTCATTCCCTGCTCTCATTGCCACTTCCAGCATCTCATGCCTGTCAAGGCAACATGGCACCTTCATTACGACCCCATCATGGTAGGTCAATACCCAGTCTCCAATTTTGCAGGTTTTACCCTTCATGAGTCTCAGAGGATTGGTTTTTATTTGAGGAGAGCTGGAAAATGGCGTGTCAGCTTTATGACCCAGACTCCTCTGGGATCATCTCGTCAAATCAGTTTAGTGTTCCTCCAGTTTTAAGGTTTCCCTATACCCTGGTTCTATTTAACCATTTGTTAACTACTAATAGTCAGATTAGCTTTTACAAAGGAATATTTACCTCAAAGATAAAGCAATATATATATATATATATATATATATATATATATACACCTCCCCATTTACACTTGGGTGGGAGCATATTTTACCCTGTTGCCCACTTCAATCTCTGGGGAGGGGAAAAGAGTCAAGTTTGCAGATTAGGTCAGTTCCTATATGGCATGGTCCCACCAAGTTTCAAGTCCAAAGCCCCCTTAGGCTTGTACCTAAGCATTCTGGATTCTTAGGGCTTACCTGCTAGACTGGCAGCAACATTTAGTCTGGAATCCTATTTCCAAAGTCACCATGGCTCAAACTTTTAGGTCCGGGACTTCATTTCCTATGCCTAGACACCCCAGGCCATTTCTCAGGGCCATAAGGCTTATGGGGGAAATGGGGAAGGAGATAATCTTTACCCTTACCCAGATCAGTTCATGGTGCCCATACCATGGGTGAATAAGACTGTCACACATATCCTTATGCCACTGGAGAGAGACTGTTTCAGTCTGGCAGTTTTAAACACAGCCAATTCTAATTTTAAAGCCAGTGGAAAGAGGCTATTCCCACCTACATGGTAGGGGAATACAGAACACCTTCCCCAAGAAGCAAGTCCCTAGTGTTTTCCACATGAATGCCTCCATATTAAGTGATCTGGATATGTTCAAAACCAAAGCTTCATTACATGTCAAATGAAGGGATTCAGAGAAGAGATCTGTAAGAGTCCTTCCAATTTGATGTCTCTAAGTCCATGTGGGAAAAAGGTCATAAAGGTTAGGTCTTGGAGGCATGTAACATAGTGAAAGATTGCTGATTGGAATAGGAGCCTTGAGTTCAAATCCCAGCTCTATCACTTCCTTCCTGTGTGACTTGGGCAAGGTATTTTACCTCTCTAGACCTCAGTTTCTTTACCTGTAAAATGAACAGATTAGACTAGATGGTGTCTAAAGTCCCTTCTACCTCTAAAACTATGATCCTTTGATCCTATGCTAAATAAAATATCACCAAGTTGATCCATTTTCCTCACCTCCTTTGCTCTAACAATTTAAATTTCTTTAATTCCTTTTGTTGATGGTACTTTATGAGTGATCTTCTCTCAGAGTTAATAACTCACATTTCAGGGGGCAGTTAAATGGCTCAGTGGATAGAGCTCTCTCTAGCCATGGAGTCAGGAAGACGTGAATTCAAATCCAGTCTCAGACACATAACTCTTACTAGCTGTGTGACCCTGGGAAAGTCATTTAACCCCGAGTGCCTCACCAAAAAGCAAAAAAACAAAAAACAGAAACAAAAAACCCCTCACATTTTAGTAGCAATTGTAGGTTTACAAACCCTCCAAGATTTTACAGACAAGGAAAATGAGGATCAAAGAGGTGAATTGCCACATAGCTAGTGAGAACTGGGACTTGAACCCAGTCTCCTGGTGGCAAATCATCCAAAATTCTTTTGCTCCACACGGCATCTCATTGCCCTCTGATTCTGTGAAGGGTCCTTTAAAGTCTTAGAATTCCTTGGCTCCTCCAAGACTTGGCTTAAGTTCCACCTTCTATAGAAAGCCTTTCCTGATCACACTCTAATCCCCAGCTGCTCATCCCTTCCCCCAAACAATTACTATTTATCTATCACATATATATACACATATATATATACACATTATATATGTATATGTATATATATGCACATATGCATATATAGTGTATGTCAATGTGTTTGAGTCCTCCAACGGAGCTCCTTGAGGGAAGATTGCTTCATTCTTTGTCATTCTATACCCAACACCTCGCCCTGTGCCTGGCATATAGGAAGTATTTAATAAATGCTTATAGATTAATTGATTGTGTGCATATTGTGATGTGCTCAGTAAAATGTAAGGTCCATGAGAGCAGAGACTTTCATTTTTTGTCCTTAGCATCTAATATAGTGTCTGGCACACAACAGGTGCCTAATAGGTGCTTGTTCACTCACTGATTCAAGACCATGGAAGTAAAAGAAAAACTTTCTCACAATGAGAGCTGTGCCCAAGTGGAATGGGATGGCTTAAGAAGTTTCCCTTCCCTGAAAGACTTCAAGCAGAGGCTAGGTGGATACTTTGTAAATGTTCTAGTGAGAATTCCTTTTCTGTATGTGAGTTGGGCTAGAGTTAGGTGAAAACTGAGATCACTTTCAACTATCACATTTTATGATTCTATGAAAGACGAGCCCCAAAGTGACCCATTCTTAGTACCTTCAGATTGAGACAACTCTGATGTCTCCCATTCCATCCCCCTAACCACTGTCCCCTGCATTCTCATTTACAGAGACTTGGAAGCAAAGTCCCAAAAGCTTCTGCCACTTGGGATGGAGAATGATCGTGTCTTCAATGATTTGTGGGGGAAGAACAACATGCCCGTTGTCTTAAACAACCCATATTCAGAAAAGGAACAGGTAAGGGCCTTGGCTAATAGGGACTGAGTGCCTTGCATGGAATAAGTGCTTGATAAATATTTGTCAAATTAAACTAAACTGGAACCAGAATGAATTGAACCAAATTGAGTTACCCCTAGAGTCATGTACACACACACACATACACAGAGAGAGAGGAAGAGAGAGAGAAAAGAAATAGGTTCTTCTAATATGTTTATTGTATCCCAGTCCACTCCACTGGAGACTATAAGCTTTCAGAGACCATGACTTAGTTGGAACTCCTACTGTATGGAAAAATATAGAGTACTTGAGAGGCTAGGAGCCAGATGCCTGGCCTGAGTTATATCTCAGGTCTAGGTCATTGAAGGGTATCACCCAGTCAGACACATTTCTAGAAGTAAATGTGTATTTACTGCAGATTGTCAATGCCTTATGATTCTTCAGCTTTTCTTTCTAGTCAGACCTGGGAGGACCTTTAGAACAGAGCATATCTGACCTGGGAAGGACTTAGAACAGGGAATGTCAGACCTGGGAGGGACCTTAGAACAGGGAATCTCAAAGCTGGGAGGGACCTTAGAACAGGGGATGTCAGAACTGGGAAGGACCCTAGAACAGGGAATGTCAAAGCTGGGAGGGGCCTTAGAACAGGGAATATCAGAGCTGGGAGGGGCCTTAGAACAGGGGATGTCAGCGGTTGGAAGGTCCTTAGACGAGACACATTTTAAGCACATTCAGTTTATAGGTAAGGTACCTGAGACCAAGACAGGTAGAGGAATTTGGCCAAAATCACAAAAGTAGTAAATACCACACCTAGGATTTGAAAGCAAGTTTTCTGACTAAGCTGAGTCTTCTGCTAATTCATGCTGCCTCCAGGCTAGGCTTTGATCCTTAATCTACTTTGTTCAGGTCCAGGTGCCACATTTTAGGAAAGACATGGACCAAATGGAACCCATTCAAGGAATGGTGACCTGGATGATGAGAGGCCTGGAGGGCATGCCATATCAATCCATCACTTAATTTTCATTAAGCAGCTATGTGCCAAGCGCTGTGCTAAGCTGGGGCTACAAAGACAATCTCTGACCTCAAGGAACTCACAAGCCATAAGAAGATTGTCTGCAGAGAAAAAAAGGGCCTGAGGGGAAAACACGATCTGTGTTTTCAAAGTTGTCATATGAAGCAGGGATAAGTCTTGTTCTGCAGGAGCAGTGGGTGGAAGTTGCAGGCAGTTAGATTTCAATGGATGTCAGGAAAAATAATATTCTAACAATAGCAGCTGTCCAAAAAGTGAGAAAGGCTGCCTCAGGAGGTGGAGAGCTGCCCGTCCTCGGAGGTGTTCTAACAGAAGCTAGGTGACCACTTGTCAAAGATGCTGTAAAGGGGACTGAAGTTCAGGTAGGAGATTGGACTGCATGCCTGCTGAGGCCCCAGATACAGCACTAGGTTGGGAGTCAAGAAGACCTGAGTCCAAATACTGCCTCAGACCTGTACAAGCTATGGTTGCTACTATGAGTCATCTCAGTCGTGGCCGGCTTTTCATGACCCCATTTGGGGGTTTCTTGTGGTTTGCCCTTTCCTTCTCCAGCTCATTTTACAGCTGAAAGAAGTGAGGCAAACAGGGTGAAATGATTTGCCTGGGGTCACATAGCTGATAAGTATCTGAGGCCACATTTGAACTCAAGAAGATGAGTCTTCTTCCCTCCAAGCCCTGTGCTCTATCCACCGTGCCACCTAGTTGTCCCTGACTAGCTATGGGCTCCTGGACAAATCATTCAACCTCTCCCTGCCTCAGTTTCCTCCTCTATAAAAAAAATGCCTTCAGAATATATCTACCTTGTGTGGTTTTGTGAGACTATGTAAGCCTCAGAATTCTTTATTCCATGAGTGATGAGACACACTGACCAGGTTTTGGTGCGTAGCTAGTGCACCTAGCTCTAACTAGGTACCTAGCTCTTGGTGTACCTAGCTCTGCCTAGGTATTTATAGGGGTTTGAGACTGGATCTGTGATTCCTTTGGCATAGGGACCTTCCAGGGGAGGAAACTCCCTCTACAGGTACAGATCAGCACCTTTTCTTCAACTATTGATAGTTGCCTAAAGCACTGAGAGGTTGTGACTTGCCCAGGGTCACAAATATGATTTTTCAAAACTAGGTCCAAAGGACTGTAGTATTATTTATCTTCTAGGGTTTTTATGGAGAGCAAATGAGTATTTGTGTGTATGTGTGTATATGTACATATATATACAGATACATACATAGCCATATATGCACACATACACATACATATATAAAATACTTCGCAACTCTTAGAGTGTTATATAAATGTCAGTTATTATCATTATTATTTAAGGAACTGGGGCAGCTAGGTGATTCTGCACTGAATAGAGTACCTTCCCTGGAGTCAGGAAAACTCATCTTCCTGAGTTCAAATCCAGCCTTAGACACTTGCTAGCTGTGTGACCCTGGGCAAGTCACTTTACCTTGTTTATCTCACTTTCCTCATCTATAAAATAAGCCGGAGAAGGAAATGACAAACCGTATCTCTGCCAAGAAAACCCCAAATTGGGTCATGAAGATTCAGACACAACTGAAATGACTCAACAACAGTAATTTGAAGAACTAGGACTGGCCCTATGATTTAAATGGTGTAAGGAACCAGCTCCCTATTGAACAAGCTCCCTCTACCAATAGCCCACTCCCGCCTTCTCTCCAATCTTATGTTGGTGCCTGGGCCACTTAAAGGTGCTTGTGTCAGAGGTGGGATGTTAGCTAGCCCAGGGCATCCTGACCCTAAGGCTGGCTCTTTATCCATTACTCCAAACTGTAGCCTTAGAAATTTAGGATAGAGGCCTTGAGGGGCTAAACAACTCATCTGTAGACAGCAAATAGGTATCTAGATGGAAGGAAGATTTGAACCCAGATGTTCTTAACTCACTGGACTGGGAGTTATCTACCACTATCATCTCTGCTATGTTTTTACAGTAGCACTTTCACATGCATAATTGATGGAAACAACCTAAGCTCAGGTCATTTTCTACCTCTGGTGAAAACTTTAAAATTGATAAATGCCAGAAGAGAAGGCCATTTTTCTGTTAGCCTGGTGACACTTGCCTTTTGTTAGCATTGGTTGGGATAGAGTCCTTACATGATTTTCTCCAACGGGTAGCATCCCATTACAGAAGGCTGCTTTCATCTCTATGAGGACCTGCGGTGAAAATGGGGAGAGAACCGCAACTGTCTGGACAACATCTGTTTTCTGATGATAATTGACTTCAAATCAATCCCTGCCTGTGGTGGAATTAAGCGGGGAAATGGGTTAGGGAGTAAATGTCAGAGGAATGAGAGAGGAGTGAGAGCCTCCTTGCACCCAGCCTGTTCTCAGCAAAGTTGTGTGATGTCCTGGTCCCACCCAACCACTCTGTGCTTTATATATGACCTCACAGAGAGGTTAGAATGGGAAACTATTAAATTAAACTCTCTCTCTCTCTCTGTCTCTGTCTCTCTCTGTCTCTCTCTGTCTCTCTTTCACACACACACACACACAAACACACACACACACACACACACACTTATACACAGTACCTCATCAGAACCATGGCATTTCCTCATCCCCCAGGGAAATAATGGACTGGTGTCAGCTTCAAAATGTCAAAATCTGTTTAGAGGCATTTCCACATTTCCAGGTGGTATTAACATTACCTTAGCCACTCCAGGGAGTCCAAGCCCAGGATAAAACTTCGCAGTGGGTGTCATTTGTGTAGGCTATCTCTTTTCTGCTCTCTGTAGGGTCAAAGGGATGTTATTGTTCATCTCTACATAAGGAATCACCACCCAACCAGAAACAGCTTTGCTGGCAGTAGAAAGGAACAGACAGACAGACAGGAAACAGGAGTCTGAATAGGTCTGTTTTCAATATTTTTTAAAAGGTGGATGAAAATCCAGTCTATCAGAAGGGAAAGATTCAAAGCTTCAAAATAAACTTTTCCTGTGTGACCCTGGACAAGTCACTTAACCCTGATTGCCTCACCCCAAAAAAATCAAACTTTTCTTCACACCAATATCATCAATAGTAAATAGTTAGAAAAGTAACTTGTCCCAAGACCATTCGGATCAGTACTCCACTATATATAAGATGAGGACAAAATAATAATAATAATAATAATGAGATCTCATAGTCTCATTTAGAATTTAGGATTAATAATAATAAGTTCTCATAGAGCACTTCACAGCAACATAAACTCCACAAGTTAGGTGGTACAATAGTTATTATGCCCATTTTCCTCATGAGAAAATAGAGATTTATAGAAGCATAACTATTTGCTCTTGACAGCTAGTGTCAGAGTCTGGACTTGAACCTGGGCTTTCTGACTCTAAGTATGAAAGCATAATACCTTACTTTGAGATAGCATTTTCTAGTTTTCAAAGCACTTGCACATCTCACCTAATTGCAGGAACATAGATTCAGAGGTGGGAGAGATCTTAGTGGACATCTAGACCAATCTATTCCTTTCACCTCTGAAGAAACTGAGGCACAGAGAGATTTGTAAATTTAACACTGGAGGAGACACTATTCTAATGGCTCATTTTACAGATAAGGAAACTGAGGACCAAAGAAGGGTGGTGATTATGGACATTTTATAGATGAAAGAAACTGAATTTCAAAGAGGTTCAGTAATTTGTCTAAGGTCACCCAGCTGGTTAGAGGCAGCATGGGAATGTAGACCTAGGTCTTCTGACTTCACTCTTGCACACCACAACAGACCTCTTGAGCATAATCAGATGCTAAACATACCCTCTAGAAGTTTTTCTTCTATCCAGAGAGAGAGAGAAAGAGACATACAGACAGACAGAAACAGAAAGCGAGAGACAGAGATAGAGAGACAGACACTGAGAGAGACAGAGACACAGAGAGACAGAGACAGAGAAAGACAGAGAGACAGGACAAAGAGACAGAGAGAGAGAGAGAGTAAAAACATGATCCTTGTTGAGCTAGAATAGCTACTATCTGGACCTATGTAGTTTTC